TAAGACCAAAGACCTGGAGCAAAAAAAAAAACAGCTGAAGAGCTGCACAAAGGAATTTAAGTGCCTGATGTCACAGACTCTTGATGTGCTCAATACCTGTGATGTGTTTCTTAAACAAATTTCCCAGAAGTTGTGGTAGAACAGGAGTTTTGTACTTTGTTGGCCACTCTTGAGTGTCTCAAGTTAAGATTTCAGCTGTTTGGAGTTTTTAAATTATCCGCTGCCCCTGCCAACTAAAATGCATGTACATTAGTAGCAGTGAGGTATCATCTCTCACCTTATAATAAAGTCCATGCAAAAAAAAAATGTTTACGAAAAAAATCTAAGGGCGTATAGGTAGCAGCGTAGCTCATAAATAATAAGAGAAGCACATGAAGAATAACTGCACCACAACAGGTTGCACAAGGACAGGAAGAAAATACGGATGTATTAGTGTAATTCGAATGGTTTCGGTTTTTTTGCAAACTAGGTCGCAGCGTAGCTCATAAATAATAAACAAAGTACCTGATGAATAATTGCACCACAACAGGTTGCACAAGGACAGGAAGAAAATACGGATGTATTAGTGTAATTCGAATGGTTTCGGTTTTTTTGCAAACTAGGTCGCAGCGTAGCTCATAAATAATAAACAAAGTACCTGATGAATAATTGCACCACAACGGGTTGCACAACGGCTTACGCAGAAAGGACGGATGTATTAGTGTAATTCGAATGGTTTCGGTTTTTTTGCAAACTAGGTCGCAGCGTAGCTCATAAATAATAAACAAAGTACCTGATGAATAATTGCACCACAACGGCATAGGAAGAAAGGGATGTAATTCAAATAGTTCTGGTTTACTGCGAATTAAGTCACAGCGTTGCTCATAAATGATAAAGTACCTGATGAATAATTGCACCACAACGAGTTGCACAACGGCTTACGCAGAAAGGACGGATGTATTAGTGTAATTCGAAAAGTTCTGGTTTACTGCGAATTAAGTCACAGTGTAGCTCATAAATAATAAACAAAGTACCTGATGAATAATTGCACCAGAACGGTTGCACAACGGTGTAGGAAGAAAAGACGGATGTAATATTGTAATTCAAATAGTTCCGGTTTATTGCGAATTAATCAGACAGTTAACAATTAATAAGACTAATAACTAACAACTACTGATGTCCAATGGTCTTACTAGTATCTGAATCAAGTGGGCCTCAAATCATGCAACCCTAGACACCTATCCATTAGTTGAACAATCACCTATTATACAACGCATGCATGAAATGGCCACAGAAATCTTTGAGAGGTAGGATAGTACCTGGAAGTTTCAATTAAACTCCTACACCTTCCACATTATATGAAAGAGTGGCATTGAATCTAGTCAGTCTTTGTTCTCTCACAAAAAAAGAATACTTAAGATTCTTGGTGTTCGATGTGGGCCAAAGTTGTAGCAGTAAAAGCTATCAACTCGAAGAATGTGGCAGAGGCATTACTGTCTATCTTCAGCAGAGCTGGTTTTCCACATCAGATTTTGATTGATAATGGGATCCCATTCAAAGGAAAGTTAGGCTTTAGAATCATCACCTTACAAAATACATTTAGGAAGGTCTTAGAGAAGATAGTCGCTGTCAGGCTGCAAGAATTCTTAGAAAGAAGAAAGCTTCTTTCAAGAGGTCTGGGGAGCTACAGGCAGGAAAAGATACCTGGTCAAATGCAGCCACTTCTGCCATCGATGTTTATGAAGGGCTCCAGAACAGAAAACAATGATCTCAGGTATAGGATATCTACAACAGAGTTAGATAAGATGTATTTATGACCATACTGATGAAGAAGGAGTAGGCCCCTGGTTGGTGAATTGGATAACTGCTGTTCTGTATTCTTATTGGATTGCTCTCCTTCTGGGTTCATGGACCTCAGAGCCATGTACTGAGGCCCCGGGACTACCACAGGGATCCCCTCATCTCATTATTCTCTCTTACAGGCAGGGAGGATAGAGGGAACAAACAGCTCAGGAACCACAAATGACAGTAGACAAAGTGACTGACTGGTACAGAAAAGGCATCTGTTTTGTGGTGTTCTCTAGATAACAGGATTGTCAGAGCTGATGTCCCAAGTTTCATCACAACAGATGGTAGAAACTTCAACAGAGAGAGCAAACTAAGGTATCTAGGAATCACCTTTGACAGGAGCCTGTCCTTCAAGGACCACGTGGAGATGGTTGTGACCAGATGCCAAAAAGGACTCAATGATAATTTATAAGACAGGGTTCAGAATTCTGGGACAAACTGTGTTACCATCCCAATAAAGAAGTCAAGCATTAGCATTGGCACATGACTCCATTTTGTGAGTCACATGGGAATACTAAAAATTAAAACCAGAGTTTTATCAACACTTTTTGAAATAGAAACAGAAGAGCATGTAAAGTCATGTGAAATCTGCATGAAATCTGCATCTAAACAACCAAAAAGTTTGTGAATCCAAAAGCTGCTGTTCAACCAGGCCAGATGGCCAACAGACCATCACTGGGCCATTACCAGTTGCTTCAGCCAAGGGAAAGCGATTCATTTTTACCCTTCTGATCTTGAAACTAAATGGCCAGATGATATACCATTAAAATTAATTTTAAGTAAAGGTGTGCAGGAGGCATTATTACTAATCTCAGAATAGGGTTCCCTAAAGTTATCATTTCTGACCAAGGCACTCAGTTTACCTTAGCCCTAGCAAAGGCAATTCAATAAACTTATTTTTGAGGATAAAACAAAACTTCACTACCCCTCATCATGCCCAAGCGAATGGGAAATCTGAATAAGTCAATGAAAGCTATGCTATCCAGGATAACATATCCACTTAGGATACACTTTTACCCACCATCCTCTCCACATACAGAGAAATACCCCACAGCTTCACTGGTGGGTCTCACTTGAGATCTACAAAAGAATGTTTACAGGTAGACAGTATAAAAAAAAGAACTTAAATGATTATGATTAACAGTCATCCTCAGACCAAGATCACAGTAGCTTGTGAGGAGCCAAGAAAGCGATTATAGAGGTGGGAATCAATCACAGAAAATATGCAGACAGAATCGGTAATCTAACTGCTTTTCAACCTAAAGATGAAGTCCTAGTATTGTTACCAAAACAAACTTTGCACAGAATGGTGTGCTTCATCTAAGGTCACAAGAAAGGTATCAGATGTAGATTACAAAACTCACTTTTAAAAAAAATGAAACTTTTCCATGTCAACATGCTTTAACAATATATTAGAAGATTTCTGTATAATGAGAATTTGACAGAAGATGTAAATGAATGTGAATTTATAAATGAAGAACTATCAGATGCATTAGAGGAGGAGATTCCAACTCTCTTTATAAAAGATGTCAACTGGAAGTCAATATAAAATAAATCCAGCACTATCTGAAAAAAGTAAAAACAAAATTGGGGTGGTCATATTTTAAATACAAATAAACCAGGTAATACAAATTTAGTAGAGTATGACATCCAACTGAACTCGACCTTGCCTATTAAAGCCAGAAATTATACCATTCTGACTGTCACGTAACAGCATCAACTCCCCTACCACGATAGACTTGTCCAGTTTGGACAACCCATGCTAAATTATTTATTTATATCTCAGATGGTCAGTCCGTATGTAAATATATGCAGACCACTCCTAATTTAATCATTCATGATGAATAATGTTAGTGTATACGATACGATGTGTTTTCTGTGCCTGTTGAAACTTACTGTTTAGACCGCTTCACTAGTAAGCTTCAGCCGTATCATTGCCCAACGGTTGAAGTTAGGGACTAGTATTCTCTACGTCACTTGTGCTTAGATTGCTCACATGTGCAGATGTGTATTGTCACTGTGGCCATTTGACCGTTATTGATGAAAGTCTGTTCTGCCAGATATTTTTCATCAGCATGGGGGAGTTTTTCATAAAGGGGGATATATATATTTGTGCTCAATTGCTGTGTGTGTTCGCGAGAAAATGTAAGAAGAATGGTAACATTAAATCTTTTCGTTCACGATCGCCTTCGACGTGAGGTCGAGGAATTGGTGGGGTGAATGCACTTTCGGAAAGTATTTCTTCTTAAATCCCTCTAGTCTGCGTTCTAGACCTATTCGGATCAATAAATACACTTGTCTGGAGTGTAATTGAAGTCTTGATGAACTTGTACGATCCGAGATAATCGTTTAAGGTGACTCCTAACTTGGTAAGTCAGATAACAGTGAGAAGAATAGGCAGCGCTATGTTAATGAGACATGATGTCACATCCCCTGTTGCTAGAAGAGGATGCAATCAAAACAAACCTTGAGCATGGAAAAGTTGGTTAAAGGTGTCCAGATGATTGTTGACAGTTGATCTATACTTGACTGTTGGTCTTTGGTTGATTGTTATTCAATAGTTGACTGCTGGTGTAAAGCTGATTGCTATTACTGGTCTTCAACTGACTGCTGCTGCTGTTCTGTAGTTGACTGCTGCTGCTGTTCTGTAGTTGACTGCCGCTGCTGTTCTGTAGTTGACTGCCACTGCTGTTCTGTAGTTGACTGCCGCTACTGTTCTGTAGTTGACTGCTGTTCTGTAGTTGACTGCCGCTGCTGTTCTGTAGTTGACTGCCACTGCTGTTCTGTAGTTGACTGCCACTGCTGTTCTGTAGTTGACTGCCGCTGCTGTTCTGTAGTTGACTGCCGCTGCTGTTCTGTAGTTGACTGCTGTTCTGTAGTTGACTGCCGCTGCTGTTCTGTAGTTGCCTGCCGCTGCTGTTCTGTAGTTGCCTGCCGCTGCTGTTCTGTAGTTGCCTGCCGCTGCTGTTCTGTAGTTGCCTGCCGCTGCTGTTCTGTAGTTGCCTGCCGCTGCTGACTTATCATGTGTTGCTTATCATTTATCGTTGTTCTATGGCTACTGTTGCTTTATAAAATAAGCAATAGCAACAAAATCCAGAAAAAGATTGCTATTTACAGATTGCTGATGATAAAGAAACAAAACCAAAAAAATCAACCATGGAAGACCTTTCAACTTATGAACGTGGTGACATTCCATAGTCCTCTGGGTGGTCCTCGCTAATACTGCTGTTACTGATATGTCGACCCCATCTTTCACATTTAGGACATGGCTGGCTTTCGGTCTTGCATGACTGATGATAGACTTGTTTGCACACCTGGCACTGGAAGGGAGAGTTAAAAAACTAATGGGGGTCGATAGAATATACATTTATTCAATATGAAAGAAAATAATTACCATATGAATTTAATGCTGAGCTTCTTCGGACTCAGGCTTGGGTTGGAAGAGAACGGAGCACTTATGGTTTACACCCGTGTGCCATGATGTTGATCCGTTGTTCAAAACTTCAAATTTCATCACCAATCAGCAGGTCTTTTACAGAACATTGTCAATTCTCCAACCCTATGTGCTTTTTTTCATAGTCAATGCATCTTCAATATCTTGTATTCCCCCTTTACAAAGGTCTGTCTTTGTCCCATTTTCTGAATACTGAACCATCCAGCACAATTCTCATCAGGTCACCATCATGCTCAACATGGCCAAAATACCTCGGATTTCAGGACAGGATGCTGTTTATAAGCCAATTCTCCTCGATGTTCAGATCATGTAGGATGTCACTGTTTTTCTTCTTCTGCACCTCAAAATAACAGGATGAGCAATGTACAATGTGAAGCAAAGATTGTATCAGGGGTTGAGAATGAACAAAACAAGGGATCACTCTTCAACAGAACAAAGATATCAATTCACTCAGACAGCTGGAAACTCAAGCAAGGAGATCAAAATTATAATTTTGAGAGCATGCATCTTCCCTGTGGCTACATACGGATGTGAGTCGTGGACTATCTCACAGTCCTTAAGAAAAAGAACAGGGGCTTTTGAGCTGAAATGCTAAAGAAAGATTCTCAGAATATCTTGGACAAAGAAGAGGAGAAATACTGACATCTTGAAAGATCTGAACATCAAGGAAGATTGGCTAATAAACAGCATCCTGTCTCGGAAGCTGAAATATTTTGGTCATATCAAAAAATTAAAGCAAAAGGCATGGTACCAGGAAGGAGGGGCAGGGGCCGACCGACACGAAGATGGGCAAAGGATAAAAGTGACTCCTTGAGTATGAAAGTACATGAGGAGGGAAAACTGGCGAGAGACCAAGTTTCTTTCAGGCAGACTGTGATGAGAGCGACGTTCTGCAAAGGACTGCTACATAATGATGAGCTGGAAACTGCTATCAAAGATTTAAGTTAAAAGCCACTTATGTGGACGTCAAGAGAGAACAGGTTCTGTTTCAAAGGATCATTCTATCATTCTGAGACCTAAGCACTGGATTACCTTTAGCTTGCTTTGCACATCAAATGACCAGGTCAAGTACATAACACACACATGCATGCATACACACACAGTTAAAACACCCCCCCCCCCTCCCTCACCACCCCCGGGATTAAATCTTGAATATATGGTGTTAACTCCTGACCATTTGGTTTTGAATTTTGACCACACAGATCTTAATCCTGACCACATTTTGTTAATTCTTGACCATACGGATTTGAATCTTGACCACATAGGTCTGGAATTTACCCATATGGGTGGAGCTGGACCTTGACCGCATGGATTTAAATCTTCCTGCAGGGATTGAATTTTGACTACAAAGAATTGAATCTTGACCACACATAACTTAATCCTAACCAAATAAAATCTGTCAAGACAAAGACATTAAAACATTATTAGCAAATTAATGCCCTGAGCATAAAAATTGTGTCTTGATGTACAATTGCAAAATACTCTCAAACAAGTAATCATTCTAATGTTACCAACACGTGTAGTGCCCATTCAACTTACCCTAATGGTTGTGTTCACTTCAAACGGGTAGATAACCTGAGGGTTGCGGCAGATCTCACACACAAAACCTTTCTGACTGCACAGGACACAGTCGTAGACATGCTGGGAGGAGAACTTGACTACATCCTTGACTAACTTCTGCAGGGTGCCAGATTGAACTTGTAGAAAATCCTGGTCAACAAAAAAAAACATCATTAATTTCTCTCTGCATAGAACATCTTATGTTATATATCTTTGTCACTGAGGGTTAGAAAAAGAATTCTTGCTTGCTACATACACCCAGTTTAACATATGGTTGAGTCCTAGACAATCGGTAGGCAGGCCAAACAATTTCTTGAGGCCTCAGAGATGTGGTTTTAAAGAAGAATGCTTACAATACCTTGGACAGCCAAAAAGGGCAACCAAGAGGTTTTGAAAAAGGCAACTAATCACAGACATCAGAAGGAGTCGGTCATTTCTCAGCCATGTAATGAGAAGAGGGAAAATGGAACATGTTGTGACCACTGAAAAGATCTGTGGAAGGAGGGATAGAGGAAGACAATAAAAGACGATTCTTGACAGTCTTGTTCCATGGCATGGAGGTGTGTCAGCACACGAACTGATACATGCTGTAGGAGATCGCAGATTGTGGAGAGACCTGATCGCCCAGGCCAGTCCGCAAGGCCCCTGTTGATGAGTCTTCCTCCTCCTCCTCCTCTTCTTCTGCACATTAACTGGCTTTAAACTCTGGCTGAAAGTTCTGGTTGTTCATCCACTTCTTGACTCTAGTCCTGTTCCAGAACCTGAGTGTTTCATGTACATCCATTTTACAGATGACTCTATTGTATGCAGAATGTTGGCCCCTTGTCTCTCCGGCAGATGCACTCCGACTTCAAAGGAAGCCCCCAATTAGTCAATTTTTTATGCCAGTTTTGGGTTAGGCAGTGGGTCTATTCTTGTTTTTCCCCTACAATGAGACCCCACAGCCCACACAGGGATCTCTGTGTGCTCAACTCAGTACACAGTGATTACCCACCCACACTTGGACTATAGGTTGCTTTCTAACCATATCGGGCGCCCTAATATAAATTGTTATATATTTTAACTGGGTTTCTGGGATCTGCTCCTGCTGGATTCTTATTCAAATGGAGTCTCCTTGTCGGTCCAAAAATAGGAAAATTTCCCAGAAAATACTCAACTCAGTAAGACAATCTGTGCACAGTGCTGAAACATTTAGCTCCCAGTGTGGATTCATATATGTGCTCACCAGAAACTTGGTGTGGGCACAGCTCTCAACTTTCCACGCTCTTTGGTGTGTCCTTCACATTCTCATCTCCTATCTTTTACGAGTGGATTACATACCTATAAAATATACCTTAGGTTAATTTTCTAGTCGGATATATATTTAATTAAACTATATTGAATGGGTCTAGTTGCTGTGTTATTAGCAAGACTTGTCTAAGGACAATTGGTTTAATCTACATACAGCAGCTGCACAGTATCTTAATATTTTACCTTTGGAGATAAAGTGTTAACACATTATCAAATGCAACATCTCATGCTTCAGAAAATGAGATAGCTTCAACTGCTGCTTAGACTTCAAAAACTCTTTGGTTGTCTAGGGAGTAATTCTCAATCAGAAAAGACCCAGCGATCCCCTTTTATTTTTGCACATCTGCCAGGGACTTATACTCTAACAGTCATCGTTAAAATTTTAAAAGAATAAATCTACATTAAAACCCTCCAAAAAAATTTACTTGAAAAAAAAAGTTCTGGGGGTTCTTTATTTCTGAATGTTGAATTAAGAATCAACATCACAGCACTCGGGACACTCCCAGAAGTGCTCAGTACCCATCTTCAGCAGCAAGCGAAGAGTTCCAATTTCGATGGTATCAGCAACCGTCTGATTGTATATCCGTCTCATCCTACCCCTGAGTGTTGAGCGTCTGCCAGATTCCCTGAGTGTTGAGTGTCTGCCAGATTCCCTGAGTGTTGAGTATCTGCCAGATCCCCTGAGTGTTGAGTGTCTGCCAGATCCCCTGAGTGTTGAGTGTCTGATCCCCAGATGCCAGATTCCCTGAGTGTGTTGAGTGTTGCCCCAGATCCCCTAAGTGTTGAGTGTCTGCCAGTAAGTGTTGAGTGTCTGCCAGATCCCCTAAGTGTTGAGTGTCTGCCAGATCCCTGAGTGTTGAGTGTCTGCCCAGATCCCCTAAGTGTTGAGTGTCTGCCAGATCCCCTAAGTGTTCTGTCTGCCAGATCCCCTGAGTGTCTGCCAGATTCCCTGAGTGTTGAGTATCTGCCAGATCCCCTGAGTGTCTGAGTGTCCTGCCAGAGTGTCCCTAAGTGTTGAGTATCTGCCAGATCCCCTGAGTGTTGAGTGTTGCCCCAGATCCCCTGAGTGTTAAGTGTCTGCCAGATTCCCTGAGTGTTGAGTGTTGCCCCAGATCCCCTAAGTGTTGAGTGTCTGCCAGATTCCCTAAGTGTTGAGTGTCTGCCAGATCCCCTAAGTGTTGAGTGTCTGCCAGATCCCCTAAGTGTTGAGTGTCTGCCAGATCCCCTGAGTGTTGAGTGTCTGCCAGATTCCCTGAGTGTTGAGTATCTGCCAGATCCCCTAGTGTTGAGTGTCTGCCAGATTCCCTGAGTGTTGAGTGTCTGCCTGAGTGTTGAGATCAGATTCCCTGAGTGTTGAGTATCTGCCAGATCCCCTGAGTGTTGAGTGTTGCCCCAGATCCCCCAAGTGTTGAGTGTCTGCCAGATTCCCTAAGTGTTGAGTGTCTGCCAAATCCCCTAAGTGTTGAGTGTCTGCCAGATCCCCTGAGTGTTGAGTGTCTGCCAGATTCCCTGAGTGTTGAGTATCTGCCAGATCCCCTGAGTGTTGAGTGTCTGCCAGATCCCCTAAGTGTTGAGTGTCTGCCAGATTCCCTAAGTGTTGAGTGTCTGCCAGATCCCCTAAGTGTTGAGTGTCTGCCAGATCCCCTGAGTGTTGAGTGTCTGCCAGATGAGTGTGAGTGTCTGCCAGATCCCCTAAGTGTTGAGTGTCTGCCAGATCCCCTGAGTGTTGAGTATCTGCCAGATTCCCTGAGTGTTGAGTATCTGCCAGATCCCCTGAGTGTTGAGTGTTGCCCCAGATCCCCTGAGTGTTGAGTGTCTGCCAGATTCCCTGAGTGTTGAGTGTTGCCCCAGATCCCCTAAGTGTTGAGTGTCTGCCAGATTCCCTGAGTGTCTGCCAGATCCCCTAAGTGTTGAGTGTTCTGCCAGATCCCCTAAGTGTTGAGTGTCTGCCAGATTCCCTAAGTGTTGAGTGTCTGCCAGATCCCCTGAGTGTTGAGTGTCTGCCAGATCCCCTGAGTGTTGAGTATCTGCCAGATCCCCCAGAGTGTTGAGTGTCTGCCAGATTCCCTGAGTGTTGAGCGTCTGTCAGATTCCCTGAGTGTTGAGTGTCTGCCAGATTCCCTGAGTGTTGAGTATCTGCCAGATCCCCTGAGTGTTGAGTGTTGCCCCAGATCCCCTAAGTGTTGAGCGTCTGCCAGATTCCCTGAGTGTTGAGTGTCTGCCAGATTCCCTGAGTGTTAAGTATCTGCCAGATCCCCTGAGTGTTGAGTGTTGCCCCAGATCCCCTAAGTGTTGAGTGTCTGCCAGATCCCCAAGTGTTGAGTGTGCCAGTCCCCTGAGTGTCTGCCAGATCCCCTAAGTGTTGAGTGTCTGCCAGATCCCCTAAGTGTTGAGTGTCTGCCAGATTCCCTAAGTGTTGAGTGTCTGCCAGATCCCCTGAGTGTTGAGTGTCTGCCAGATTCCCTGAGTGTTGAGTATCTGCCAGATCCCCTAGTGTTGAGTGTCTGCCAGATTCCCTGAGTGTTGAGTGTCTGCCAGATTCCTGGCGTGTTGATGTATCTGCCAGATCCCCTAGTGTTGAGTGTCTGCCAGATCCCCTGAGTGTTGAGTGTCTGCCAGATTCCCTGAGTGTGAGTGTCTGCCAGATTCCCTGAGTGTTGAGTATCTGCCAGATCCCCTGAGTGTTGAGTGTCTGCCCCAGATCCCCTGAGTGTTGAGTGTCTGCCAGATTCCCTGAGTGTTGAGTGTCTGCCAGATCCCTGAGTGTTGAGTGTTGCTGCCAGATCCCCTGAGTGTTGAGTGTCTGATTCCCAGATCGAGTATCTGCCAGAAGTGTTGAGTGTCTGCCAGATCCCCTAAGTGTTGAGTGTCTGCCAGATTCCCTGAGTGTTGAGTGTCTGCCAGATCCCCTGAGTGTGGTGAGTATCTGCCAGATCCCCTGAGTGTTGAGTGTCTGCCCAATCCCCTAAGTGTTGAGTGTCTGCCAGATTCCCTAAGTGTTGAGTGTCTGTCCAGATCCCCTGAGTGTTGAGTGTCTGCCAGATCCCCTGAGTGTTGAGTGTCTGCCAGATCCCCTGAGTGTTGAGTGTCTGCCCCAGATCCCTGAGTGTTGAGTGTCTGCCAGATCCCCTGAGTGTTGAGTATCTGCCAGATCCCCTAAGTGTTGAGTGTCTGCCCAGATCCCCTAAGTGTTGAGTGTCTGCCAGATCCCCTGAGTGTTGAGTGTCTGCCAGATCCCTAAGTGTTGAGTGTCTGCCAGATCCCCTGAGTGTTGAGTGTCTGCCAGATCCCCTAAGTGTTGAGTGTCTGCCAGATCCCCTGAGTGTTGAGTGTCTGCCAGATCCCCTAAGTGTTGAGTGTCTGCCAGATCCCCTGAGTGTTGAGTGTCTGCCAGATCCCCTGAGTGTTGAGTGTCTGCCAGATTCCCTGAGTGTTGAGTATCTGCCAGATCCCCTAGTGTTGAGTGTCTGCCAGATTCCCTGAGTGTTGAGCGTCTGCCAGATTCCCTGAGTGTTGAGTGTCTGCCAGATTCCCTGAGTGTTGAGTATCTGCCAGATCCCCTGAGTGTTGAGTGTTGCCCCAGATCCCCTAAGTGTTGAGTGTCTGCCAGATCCCTGAGTGTTGAGTGTCTGCCAGATCCCCTAAGTGTTGAGTGTCTGCCAGATCCCCTGAGTGTTGAGTGTCTGCCAGATCCCCTAAGTGTTGAGTGTCTGCCAGATTCCCTGAGTGTTGAGTGTCTGCCAGATCCCCTGAGTGTTGAGTGTCTGCCAGATTCCCTGAGTGTTGAGTATCTGCCAGATCCCCTGAGTGTTTGAGATGTCTGCCAGATCCCCTAAGTGTTGAGTGTCTGCCAGATTCCTGAGTGTTGAGTGTCTGCCAGATCCCCTGAGTGTTGAGTGTCTGCCAGATCCCTAGTGTTGAGTGTCTGCCAGATTCCCTAAGTGTTGAGTGTCCTGCCAGATTCCCTGAGTGTTGAGTGTCTGCCCAGATTCCCTGAGTGTGAGTATCTGCCAGATCCCCTGAGTGTTGATGTGTCTGCCAGATTCCCTGAGTGTTGAGTGTCTGCCAGATTCCCTGAGTGTGTTGAGTGTCTGCCAGATCCCCTGAGTGTTGAGTTGTCTGCCAGATCCCTGAGTGTTGAGTGTCTGCCAGATCCCCTGAGTGTTGAGTGTCTGCCAGATTCCTGAAGTGTTGAGTGTCTGCCAGATCCCCTCTGCCAGATCCCCTGTTGAGTGTGCCAGATCCCAGATCCCCTAAGTGTTGAGTGTCTGCCAGATCCCCTGAGTGTTGAGTGTCTGCCAGATTCCCTAAGTGTTGAGTGTCTGCCAGAGTTGAGTGTTCTGCCAGATCCCCTGAGTGTTGAGTGTCTGCCAGATTCCCTGAGTGTTGAGTGTCTGCCAGATCCCCTAAGTGTTGAGTGTCTGCCAGATCCCCTGAGTGTTGAGTGTCTGCCAGATCCCTTGAGTGTTGAGTGTCTGCCAGATCCCTTGAGTGTTGAGTGTCTGCCAGATCCCTGAGTGTTGAGTGTCGGCCAGATCCCTTGAGTGTTGAGCGTCGGCCAGATCCCTTGAGTGCTGAGTGTCTGCCAGATCCCTTGAGTGTTGAGTGTCTGCCAGATCCCTTGAGTGTTGAGTGTCTGCCAGATCCCAAGAGTGTTGAGTGTCTGCCAGATCCCCTAAGTGTTGAGTGTCTGCCAGATCCCTAAGTGTTGAGTGTCTGATTCCCTGAGTGTTGAGTGTCTGCCAGATCCCCTAAGTGTTGAGTGTCTGCCAGATCCCCTAAGTGTTGAGTGTCTGCCAGATCCCCTGAGTGTTGAGTGTCTGCCAGATCCCCTAAGTGTTGAGTGTCTGCCAGATTCCCTAAGTGTTGAGTGTCTGATCCCAGATCTGCCAGATCCCCTGTGTTGAGTGTCTGCCAGATCCCCTGAGTGTGAGTGTCTGCCAGATTCCCTGAGTGTTCTGCCAGATCCCCTGAGTGTTGAGTGTCTGCCAGATCCCCTGAGTGTCTGAGTGTCTGCCCCAGATTCCCTGAGTGTTGAGTGTTGAGTTCTGAGTGTTGAGTGTCTGCCAGATTCCCTGAGTGTTGAGTATCTGCCAGATCCCCTAAGTGTTGAGTGTCTGCCAGATTCCCTAAGTGTTGAGTGTCTGCCAGATCCCCTAAGTGTTGAGTGTCTGCCAGATCCCCTGAGTGTTGAGTGTCTGCCAGATCCCCTAAGTGTTGAGTGTCTGCCAGATCCCCTAAGTGTTGAGTGTCTGCCAGATCCCCTGAGTGTTGAGTGTCTGCCAGATTCCCTGAGTGTTGAGTATCTGCCAGATCCCCTAGTGTTGAGTGTCTGCCAGATTCCCTGAGTGTTGAGTGTCTGCCAGAGATCCCTGAGTGTTGAGTGTCTGCCAGATTCCCTGAGTGTTGAGTATCTGCCAGATCCCCTGAGTGTTGAGTGTTGCCCCAGATCCCCTAAGTGTTGAGTGTCTGCCAGATTCCCTAAGTGTTGAGTGTCTGCCAGATCCCCTAAGTGTTGAGTGTCTGCCAGATCCCCTGAGTGTTGAGTGTCTGCCAGATCCCCTGAGTGTTGAGTGTCTGCCAGATCCCCTAAGTGTTGAGTGTCTGCCAGATCCCCTGAGTGTTGAGTGTCTGCCAGATTCCCTGAGTGTTGAGTATCTGCCAGATTCCCTGAGTGTTGAGTATCTGCCAGATCCCCTGAGTGTTGAGTGTCTGCCAGATTCCCTGAGTGTTGAGTGTCTGCCAGATCCCCTGAGTGTTGAGTGTCTGCCAGATCCCCTGAGTGTTGAGTATCTGCCAGATCCCCTGAGTGTTGAGTGTTGCCCCAGATTCCCTAAGTGTTGAGTGTCTGCCAGATCCCCTGAGTGTTGAGTGTTGCCCCAGATCCCCTGAGTGTTGAGTGTCTGCCAGATTCCCTGAGTGTTGAGTGTGCCAAGTGAGTGTTGCCTGCCAGATTCCCCTGCCAGATCCCCTAAGTGTTGAGTGTCTGCCAGATTCCCTAAGTGTTGAGTGTCTGCCAGATCCCCTAAGTGTTGAGTGTCTGCCAGATCCCCTGAGTGTTGAGTGTCTGCCAGATCCCCTAAGTGTTGAGTGTCTGCCAGATCCCCTAAGTGTTGAGTGTCTGCCAGATCCCCTGAGTGTTGAGTGTCTGCCAGATTCCCTGAGTGTTGAGTGTCTGCCAGATTCCCTGAGTGTTGAGTATCTGCCAGATCCCCTAGTGTTGAGTGTCTGCCAGATTCCCTGAGTGTTGAGTGTCTGCCAGATCTCCTGAGTGTTGAGTATCTGCCAGATCCCCTGAGTGTTGAGTGTTGCCCCAGATCCCCTGAGTGTTGAGTGTCTGCCAGATTCCCTGAGTGTTGAGTGTTGCCCCAGATCCCCTAAGTGTTGAGTGTCTGCCAGATTCCCTAAGTGTTGAGTGTCTGCCAGATCCCCTAAGTGTTGAGTGTCTGCCAGATCCCCTGAGTGTTGAGTGTCTGCCAGATCCCCTAAGTGTTGAGTGTCTGCCAGATCCCCTAAGTGTTGAGTGTCTGCCAGATCCCCTGAGTGTTGAGTGTCTGCCAGATCCCTGTTGAGTGTCTGCCAGATTCCCTGAGTGTTGAGTATCTGCCAGATCCCCTAGTGTTGAGTGTCTGCCAGATTCCCTGAGTGTTGAGCGTCTGCCAGATTCCCTGAGTGTTGAGTGTCTGCCAGATTCCCTGAGTGTTGCCAGAGTGTTGATCTGCCAGATCCCCTGAGTGTCTGCCAGATCCCCTGAGTGTTGAGTGTCTGCCCCAGATCCCCTAAGTGTTGAGTGTCTGCCAGATTCCCTAAGTGTTGAGTGTCTGCCAGATCCCCTAAGTGTTGAGTGTGTGCCAGATCCCCTGAGTGTCTGAGTGTCTGCCAGATAAGTGTTGAGTGCCAGATCCCCTGAGTGTTGAGTGTCTGCCAGATCCCCTAAGTGTTGAGTGTCTGCCAGATCCCCTGAGTGTTGAGTGTCTGCCAGATTCCCTGAGTGTTGAGTATCTGCCAGATTCCCCTGGATCTTTCTTTCTGAATGATACCACAGATCCTTTTGAATTTAATGACCTGGCAAGGCACATGATGATGATATTCAAGTTAGAGACAGGCTTTGCATGTCTAAGCCCCTCTGTCCACAAACTTATATAAATCAAACATGCACAACTGACAAATGTGACTGTGGTCTCTAGTTACTAGTTACCGTGAGAGAGTACAGATCCCGCCTGTCGTATAAATGTTCTCTAGGCCACACTTTCTGTCGCAGGGACTCTGCCACTTTTTGAGAACACGTAAACAGGTAAGATTTTAGGTAGCATAACTGTTGCCGAAGAAGCTGTCATTAGTTATAGAAATAAAAATAGTTGTACAGATGTGGTAAATGATTTGCTACAGACAAAATAGATCTAACCAGTTGTAGCTTAAGCCACACACATACAGACCAACAGATCAAATCAGGTTTAGATCCACACACCCATACAAACAAATAAAACTATAGTAGCTTCATACATGAACATACAGACCAACAGATTAAACCAGACTTAGATTCAGCTAAACACATACACACATATAAAACTACAGCAGCTACATATACACACATACAGATCAAACAAGAATTAGATTCAGCCACACACATACATGTAAAACTACAGTAGCTTCATAAATGAAAGTACAGACCTACAGATAAGAACAGGCTTAGATTCAGCATCACAGAAACAAACTTAAATTTTTTTTTTTTCTAAATATCTAGAAACCATGAGTTGTTAATCCTTTGGCTCGGTACTATGGGTATCGCAACCCTTCGGCCGTAATTCCATGATAGATACCATAAATCTGGGAGAAATGTGGCTTTTCTGCCTACCCCCGGGCATGAACCCAGGCCACAAGGAGTTCGTCACCCGGTTGCCACACAGTCAGGTTTAACCAACTGAGCTAGCGAGATAGGCATACCAACAGATTAAACCATAGTAGTCTTAGATAGTCTTAGACACAAACACACAGACCACCAGATCAAACCACATACACACAGATCAAAGACTAAGCACCAACAACTGTCTGGAATGCACACATTCTGCCCACTGTAATACAAATACAGATACATAAAAATATAAACACAAACAAACCTACATGTGCATCGTGTTTACGTGCTTATAAATTTATATATACATGTGCTCACATTCACATATGTACAGCATGAAAACTAACGCAGGTTCATTTGTGTGAATATATGCTCCCATTCTTGTGTAAAATGTATCTGGAAATACACAAACTTCCATGTTCCCATACATCTAAATCTATATGTACATCAATACTCATGTAAGTACAATCTACATATACACTCAAATAGTTAAATCTATACACTTATTAACATAAAAAATTACAAGTTAACGTAAATAAGTCTACATATACACTGACATATATAAATCTAAAAACAAATGTATATACAGTAAAACTTCATGAATTTGAACTCGCATAAGTAGAAAACAGAACAAACACAATTTTGGTGGTCCCAGCAAGGAAGTATTCTGTTACCACACATTTTGTTTGCATGACGTCAGTCTCTTGGAATTTGTGTGAACAAGGTTCAACTGTGTGTATGTATGCAAATATATATATATATATATATATATATATATATATATATATATATATATATATATATATATATATATATATATATATATATATATATATATATATATATATATATATATATATATATATATATATATATATATATATGTGTGTGCACAGCAGCACATACACTCACAGCTACATACAAAAGTTAGTTGTGTATCCTTTACAGGACATTGAAGAATCAACCCCAGTATTTTGGGGCTGTTGTGGTTTTTCTAGGCAAATGTACATTCAGTAGTTTGCCACTGCCTGCGGAACCATCAGCTCTCAATAACACTGTCAAAACCAATGCAAGGCGGTCTGCATATACAAACTCATGTAACAATCTAGTCACATGTGCATAATTGTAAACACAAACATGAACATGAACAAATCTACATGAGGACGCAGTCACATATGTGCATATCTACACGAACATACAGATACAACACACAAGAAAAGCACCTTCAGCTCCTGGAGTTCAGGAACATGGGCGTAGAGCTTAGGGTTTAACTCCTCAACATCGTACAGCGCTTGATCTTCCAGCTCCTGCAGGAACTTGTAGTTGTCTTCACAAACTGTGGGCGACATCACAATTCATCACTAGCGATTGTAACACAACACTCACCTGCGGATCCAAGGTGTGGTCAAATCTGAAGAGAAACAGAGACAGACAGAGAAAGACAGACAGACACAGAAAGAGACACACGGACATCGAAAAAGAGACAGAGAGACAAGAGAGAGACAGACAAGAGAGAGACAGACAAGGGAGAGACAGACAAAAGAAAGAGACAGGGAGGCAGACACAGAGACAGAAACAGAGAGGCAGACAGGGAGAGAGACAGAAGGACAAAGAGAAAGAAAGAGAAAGAGAGGGAGACACAGACAGAGAGACAGAGGGAGATGAAGAGAGACAGAGACATAAAAAATACAGAGAGACACAGAAAGAGCCCAAGACAGAGACAGACAGAGAGACAGAGACAGAAAAAAAAAGATACAGAGAGAGAGATTCTGTGTCTCCATATCAATGTTCTCTCTCTTGCCAAAGCGTGTCATTTGTAGGCGTGGTGACTACATTTATAACTTGACGAGACAAAGAGATAGAGTCATTCTGTGTCTCCGTATCAATGTTCTCTCTCTTGTCAAAGCGTGTCATTTGTGGGCGTGGTGACTACATTTATAACTTGACGAGACAGAGAGACAGAGTCATTCTGTGTCTCCGTATCAATGTTCTCTCTCTTGTCAAAGCGTGTCATTTGTGGGCGTGGTGACTACATTTATAACTTGACGAGACAGAGAGACTTGTAGCCCACTTTAACAACACTGGCGCCAGGCAGTGGTTCCAGACAGTCCGCCAGACACTGCAGGGTCAAACAGTCTCTGATGTCTAGACCCTGCTGTGTTCCAGAGATCAGTTCCTGGAACTTTCCGACCCTAACAATGTAGCCATCTTTCTTTATTTACTACTTTTATATATCTGTCTGTGTCTGTGTCTGTGTGTATGTGTCTGTGTGTCCATCTGTGTGTGAATCTGTGTACCTGTCTGTGTGTCTGTGCATGTATGTGCGTGCGTAGGGGGTTGTTAAGTGTGGATGGTTGTAAGTCGAGAAGGTGTATATGCCAGAACTTCAATCACATATGTGTTACTCTGGAGCCGAGGGACAAAGCAAACTGTGACCTACATAGCATGTTGAGCAGCATTAGTGCAGTCGATAGGAGGCTCACTTTCAAATCCAGCTGCGATTCGCTGCAGCCACGGTCGGTGTTCAAAACCAGGCGGTTCCCGGGGTTCACCCAGCCTCTGGGAAATAGGTATTAGAGTTGACACTTTGGGATGAATGGAGGAACATGGCTGTAGCTACGGAGTTACGTGCGGACGGTGACACAGGCGGAGTTTCTTATCAGCTGTCCGTACTTGTGGCAGAGCCCTTATGGTTTATAACCGTGTGCCCCCCGTGTGGGTTCCTGGGCCCCATTATAGGGAAAACAAGAATAGACCCACTGCCTCCCCAAAAAGCATGTCATAAGAGTCGACTAATTGGGGAGCTTCCTTTAAAGTCGGAGTGCATCTACCGGAGAGTCTAGGGACCAACAGTCTGTATTCAAGAGAATGAAATCTGTAAAACTGATGCACACGCAACACTCAGGTTCTGGAGCAGGACTGCAGTTCAGTAATGGACGAGCAACCAGAACTTTCTGCCAGAGTGTACAGCTGGTGAACGCAAAGAAGAAAGAAGATAACCATGTGCAATGACGCTGGTTCACATCTCCCGACTTTACCTTCATCTTTATGAGGTGACTAAGAACATATATGTGGCAGACTGCTATGCCACAGAAAACTTTCTATGCAAAATCAAACCAACATTTCCCTGTGTTGGTCCAAGGTCCCAGTCTGGGAGAAAAAAGAATAGACCCACTGCTCCCAACATGCACATTCTAAAAGTTGACTAATCAGATCTGCTTCCTATGTTGGAGTGTATCTGCCTGAGTGGCAAGGTACCAACAGTCTGCACACAAACAAGCCAGATCTGTAAAATGGATGTGCATGCCTAACACAATTTGTGGAACACGACCAATGTTCAGAAGTGGATGAACAAAGACAGGAGATAATTTTTGTATTCTTCCAGCCATGTTTTTATTCTACCCATGCCTATTTAGGACTATTTAAAAAGTAACAGAAAATGTACTAATCGGCACTCATTTAGGCACTATTTAGAACTCTACTCACCTTTCTTCTTCCTGAAGTCCCAATCATAGAGAACCAAGGAAGGAATATAGGCCTCCTTGTTCTCATGGCATCCCTGGCAATACAAGCCTCCATCAAACTCACAGACGCGGGGCTGCCCATAAACTGCAGGACAAACATTGCAGAAACATTTCAGGTCAGAGTTCATTCATTCATTGTCCTACTGTGTCATCATGTGCCACATAGGGCTGCCAGTCTAATCCTCCATTCTCTTCTATCCTGTGCAATCACTTCAATATCACGAATGGAATCCAACCCAGCATTTTTGGATTCTCTCATCAATGTTCACTTTAGGGGGCCGCTTGGATGTCTTCATTTCCCCATTCCCTCTATTTCCCATTTCAGTGCCTGTTGGTAATTCTCTGTTATTCTCCAATATAGTGCCATCTTCTGTTTTATAACTGCTGATACTAGTGGTTGCCCAGACAATTTTCTTTAGGTAAGATTAATTAGTGAAGGGAGGGGTGTCAAAGTAAGGGGGGAGGGAGAAAAGAGACAGGAAAGCATTGGGAAAAAATACCAAAAGGTGGTGGGAAAAGAGACCAAAAAGCGATGGAGGAAGATAATGAAAAGCAGTGAGTGAAAATACTGAAAGGCAGTGGGAGAAGAGACTAGAAGGCACAAGAGACAAGAGACAGAAAGACAGTTGGGGGGAGGGGGGGGGGGGGGTGGGCAAAAGGGGGAAAGAGGCAGGAAGGCAGTGGAGAAAAGAGACCAGAATGCAATGGGCACAAGAGACAGTGGGGGTTAGAGAAGGGAAGCCAAACTGTAAGGGCCACTAAGTGAATTACAAAAGACAGTGAAGTTTATACTGGAGACGGCATTGCAGATATAGATAATTTATTTCAAGCGAACGAAAGAAGAAATAGAATAAACCATTCAACCAGCTGCTCGTAGTTAAAATGTCTCCCATTTTGGCCTCTTCCTCTATCCTTTCCTTGTAAATCTCATTGGAGCATTTTAGAGTTTAGATAAAATTGTAAGTGAAGAAAAAGTAGTTTAGAGTTAAGAGTTGGATTATCTTCACAGTACTCCAGACTCATCCATGTGTGCTTAGATTCCAACTTTAACATATGCATCCACGTCACGTGGTTAACAGTGCCAGTCTTTTGCTGGTTAACAAGACTTCTTGCCTCTTATGTTTGGCTGTGCCGATCTAAACTCTCAATTCTCATCAGTGATGTGGATGCATTGCTTTTGGTGCATCAGGTATACAGTGCTGAACCAAAATTTTTAAAGAACCATCAGCACTCAAAGGGTGATGTGGCCAACCTCATGCCGACTGTCTTTACATCAGGAAATTAGTTGTAGCCATTTTAGTGTTGACCTCGCAGACAAGGTCAATTCTGAAAACTCAATTCCCTCCGATACAGATTTGAACCCTATATTTTCAAGCAAGAGTCTAAGCACAACACTAAGTCTTAATCGGTTTTGTGACTAACCCACACACAAATAATGACTTTTATATGAAGCTTCCTTTTCATGAAATTTGGCCTTACTTATTCCAATTGGCCTGAAACATCCTTTACAGGAAAAATTCTGGTGACTCAACCCATGCTCCCGAGGCACGTGAAACAGGAAGTACATCCGAGAACTCTGAAAATGGAAACCATAAATGACGACATTCCACAGGTAACAATAGCCCACCATAATAACATAAACAAACAACATGACAACTGAGAGTCCAATATAACAATATAATATACAAACAACAAGAAGGCAGTGGGTCCTGATTACAAAAATCAGCTTGGCTCCCTGGTAGACCCAGCCTTACATGGGTACCAGGTAAAGTCCTGGGGAGTAAAGGCAGCCAGCGTGGCGTTACCACATCACCCACAGAGTTCCGATTGGTCTATCTTCTTCTTTCTTCGTGTTCACCAGCTGTAAACTCTGGTGGAAACTTCTGGTTGTTCATCCACTTCTGGACTGCAGTCCTGTTCCAAAACCTGAGTGTTGTGTGTGCATCCATTTGACAGATCTGACACATTTGTGTGCAGACTGTTGGTTCCTTGCGTCTTAGGCAGATGCACTCCGACTTTGAAGGAAGCTACCAACATGCTTTTAGATAGGCAGTGGGTTTTTTCTTGTTTTCCCTATAATAGGGCCCATGAACCCACACAAGGGTGATCGGTTTATGAAAATATAGGTCTGAAATTTTTGGATTCTACATACATATATGTTTTACAAGATGGTGGCTATTGTCATGAAAACCATGTTTTGTTTTGTTTTTTTAACATTTTTTTTTTTTTACATTTTAAGTGTAAAACAGGATTAACACATATTACCAAAAACTACCATTATAAAATAACTGATCTAACATTTTTTTTTATTAAATTTCTTTTTTTTTAAATGAGGCATTCTGACCCCTTGACACACCATGCATGTCATGAGAGGCCACATAGCATGGTTCCGGTCTGACTGGCTACCCCCAACCACACAAAAACTAGCAAAAACATTCAACCAACCACGAAGTGTTGCAAAAGAGAAATACAACTCAGTCAAACGATGAAACGAGGCCCTCATCCTAGAAAAGAGAATCACATAACGCAGAGATAGCTGTACAGTTTCTCAATAGGTGATTTGTGAATTAGAAAAGACAGCACGGATGGATAAAGTGGTAGCATGTGTTGGTTGTGGGGTTTAATTAGGCAATTTTATGTTCCGTAGTTTGCCATTGCTTTCTGAATGGTCGGCTCTCGATACCATTGTCAAAATCAATGCAAACTGGTCTGCTGCCGTATTTCACGCAACCGGAATCGAACTGGGTACCTTAGATTTATGAAATGGTAGGGGAAATTAAATATTAGATTATTACTTTGGGATTGTGTAGCACATGAAAGCCTTTATCCTGGAACCCACATGGTAAAAAAATAATACAGTGAGACAAAGAAGCAAACGGAGAAGCAAATGAGAGACAAGAGATAAATAACAAAAGAAGGACTACGATGGGGTTGCAAGAACAAACTGGAGGATGGTAGGAGCTGGTGGAGTACCTGTGGTGGAGTACCTGTGCTCCACATGGAATCAAAGACACAAGAAGACAAAGATGACAACATAACAGGGCCAAACATAACATACAAACAACCAGGGGGAAATATGTTAACCATGACAACACACAGACACCAGTACAGCTTAAAAATTAACAAGTAATTATGATAAACCATTAATGTACTACTGAAAATGTGTTTAGTAATGACTGTAAACACGAGATCAGCCAAAGACTTTATCTTGAGTGTCAAAATATATCTGGCAGTGACTATGACTATCAGACAGTCATTTAAAATGTATCCAGCAATGACTATAATCATTAGAGTGGAACATGCAATTATCTGGCATCGACTGTAACCATTAGAGTGTCATTTAAAATATATCTGGCAGTGACTATGACTATCAGACAGTCATTTATGATGTATCCAGCAATGACTATAATCATTAGAGTGGAACGTGCAATTATCTGGCATCGACTGTAACCATTAGAGTGTCATTTAAAATATATCTGGCAGTGACTATGACTATCAGACAGTCATTTAAAATGTATCCAGCAATGACTATAATCACTAGAGTGGCACGTGCAATTATCTGGCATCGACTGTAACCATTAGAGTGTCATTTAAATATATCTGGCAGTGACTATGACTATCAGTCATTTAAAATGTATCCAGCAATGACTATAATCATTAGAGTGGCACGTGCAATTATCTGGCATCGACTGTAACCATTAAAGTGTCATTTAAAATATATCTGGCAATGATTATAACTATTAGAGTGGTATGTAAATTATGTGGTAATTACTATAGCCAAGTAAAGTTATCCGGCAATAATTATAACCATTAAAATGTCGAGTAAAATTATCTGGCCATGACTATAACCATTAGAGTGTCATTAGGAATATATCTGGCAATTACTGTATCCGTTTGGAGTGTTATGTGGAATATATATAAGGGATTCGCTGGCAGAGCCACCGTTCGAGTGTCATGTGGAATATATCTGGCAATTACTATAACCATTAGACCGGGTGTCATGAAAGTAATATGTCTGGCAATTACTATAACCACATAGAGTGTCGCTGTTGGTCTACAAAATATAGTCTGGCCTAATTACTATATGCCTATTTGAGTGTCATGGGGAATATATTTTGGCAATTACTACAACCAAACGTTGTCATGGACAAATAACCTATCTGGAAATTACTATAACCATCTTTGGAGTGTCATGGGGAATATATCTGGCAATTACTATAACCATTTGAGTGTCATGGGGAATATATCTGGCAATTACTATAACCATTAGAGTGTCATGTGGAATATATCTGGCAATTACTATAACCATTAGAGTGTCATGTGGAATATATCTGGCAATTACTATAACCATTAGAGTGTCATGTGGAATATATCTGACAATTACTATAACCATTAGAGTGTCATGTGGAATATATCTGGCAATTACTATAACCATTAGAGTGTCATGTGGAATATATCTGGCAATTACTATAACCATTAGAGTGTCATGTTGAATATATCTGGCAATTACTATAACCATTAGAGTGTCATGTGGAATATACCTGGCAAATACTAAAAGCATTAGAGTGGCGCACGTACAAGTTTCCAGCAAATACTATAACCATTAGAATGGTAGGTTAAATTATCCAACAATTATTGTACCCATTAGAGTTTTACATATACAATATATTCATGCATTCATTTATTCATTCATTCATTGTCCTGTTGTGCCATTATATATCACCTAAGACTTGCAGTCTGTTCTGTGCAATCAGTTCAGTATCATGGACAGCACCTTTGGCCTTTCTCATCAAAGTTTAGATGTAATACATACAACAGTAACTATAACAATTAGAGTGCCAATTAAAGTTCATACCTATTACATAGTGTCATTTACATAAATACTGAGTGCACACAACTTAAGTGTCTATGGTTTTATCCTAGCTAAAACAAACAATTTAGTGAATCAACCAGATCATTTCTGGTCTTGTATGTGTTACAGAATATCTAGTGATGACAGGCAGTGCAGTTTTGTTAACACAAAGCACAATGCTGGTCACAACACATACAAAAATATGCATTAATGTCATATTACTCATTGGTTTTAAGAGGGGAAGTCAATCAAAAAGAGTTAAAGATCCCTTTTCACGCCTTTAGGCGCATCAGGTTTATGGGAAGAGCGCCCATATTTTTTTCAGACCATCGGCACTAGGTGGGTAATGTGGTCAGCATTTCGCCGGCTGTCTCTACTTCTCCAGGACAGCCATCCTGGTACCCATTTTAGGCTGGGTGGATCTGTGACGCCCCATACCATGATAAAAATCTATGCAGCCAGCAGTGGGTTTCGATCTCTGTATGTTAGAATTACAAGTCGGACTGGCAACGCCTAAGCCAAGGACGCCGCATGGAAGTCAATAAGTAAGTCACAAATGCTTATGGGATGGCAAGAAAATGTAGCTGGTGGTTTCTAAAGGTGTCATGAGGTGACAGCAACAATGAACTTTATGTCTCTGTTCACTACATGGCGCTAGGTGTTGCATGCGTATCCGCAACACAGAAACAAAATAGTGACTGTACTTATGGAGTGTACCTTCAAAGAACAACGTGCTGTTGTGCATTTTAAGAGGGCTAAATGGCTGCCTGCAAAGGACATTCAATAGGACATGCTTCCTGTTTATGCTGACAAATGTTTATCGCATAAAGCGGTGCATAGTTTTGTAAAAGAATTCAAGGACGCTCTAAAATTGTTGATAAAGTCCGATCTGGTTGTCCTAATGTTCAAAAATTCAAGATTACGCCATCAGCAGGGGAGGTTATGCTGTCAGTGTTCTGGAACTGTCAAGGTCTGATTGTAACCAATTAAAAAAAAAAGGTGACAATATGAATGCTGAATCATACTGAATAGTTCTATTCTATCGATGCTTTATGATGCAGTTTGAAGAACACATCCAGGCCTGCTGACTAGAGGAGTACTGCTCCTTCTTGACAATACCAGACCACATACGGCTCGGTTAACTCAAGAGAAATTAACCATCAAGAGTGGGAACTTCTGGAACATCCAACTTACAGCCCCTTCTTAGCCCCTAGTGATTTCCACCATTTTGGTCCTCCGAAAACCCACCTTGCAGGAGGCACTTACCGAATGACTCAAATGGTTGTTTTTTTAAACAACCATTTGTGACTGACTTCCCCTTGTAATTATGTAAATTCCTGCGGTCAGAGTGCATCTGCCTGAGAGATGAGGGATCAACAGTCTACATATACATACACCAGATCTGCAAAAACAAATGCGCACAAAACACTCAGGTTCTGGAACAAGACTAAAATCCAGAAGTGGATGAACAGCCAGAACTTTCTGCCTGTGTTTAAAGCTGTCGAGTTTTGTGTGCACCTTTGTTTTACAAATCTGGCTGATTCGTATGCAAGCTGTCTGTTCCTGACCTCTCAAGCGAATGCAACCCCACTTTGGGGGAAAAAAAACTTTAATTAATCACCTTTAACAACATGCTTATGGAAAGCAGCAGATCTATTCTTTTCCCTGGTGTCCCAGGACACAATCAGGGGACAGAGGGAAACAACAAGCTTCACAAATTCAGATGTTCCCCTATTGTGAATGTACACAATGAGGATAAAAACAATCTACACTTTCTCCTCGACTTATGACCATCCACACTTACATCCAACGTAAGACCGACAAATGATATATATATTTTATTTTATTAAAATACTAAACTTTTTTTTAAAAATATTTTCAATTGAGTTTTTTCAACATTTTTTTTTTTTAACATTATGCAGAAATTAATTTGCTATTTACTATTTTGACAGGTTTATTTTGTTTGCAGTACATACAGTAGAGTACATATGTATTTTTCACATTCTCAACAATATTTATACTTAACAGAGATTTAATTTTTGCATTTAATGTGCAATTTTGTGAAACACATTTGAGTGAAAATAGTGTTGAAAAATATCAAATCAACTTACAACCAGTTTGTCATAAGTTAAGCAGACCCTTGTTTGTCGTAAGTTAAGCAGACCCTTGTTTGTCATAAGTTAAGCAGACCCTTGTTTGTCATAAGTTAAGCAGACCCTTGTTTGTCATAAGTTAAGCAGACCCTTGTTTGTCGTAAGTTAAGCAGACCCTTGTTTGTCATAAGTTAAGCAGACCCTTGTTTGTCATAAGTTAAGCAGACCCTTGTTTGTCATAAGTTAGGCAGACCCTTGTTTGTCATAAGTTAAGCAGACCCTTGTTTGTCATAATTTAGGCAGACCCTTGTTTGTCATAGGTTAGGCAGACCCTTGTTTGTCATAAGTTAGGCAGACCCTTGTTTGTCATAAGTTAGGCAGACCCTTGTTTGTCATAAGTTAGGCAGACCCTTGTTTGTCATAAGTTAAGCAGACCCTTGTTTGTCATAAGTTAAGCAGACCCTTGTTTGTCATAAGTTAGGCAGACCCTTGTTTGTCATAAGTTAAGCAGACCCTTGTTTGTCATAATTTAGGCAGACCCTTGTTTGTCATAAGTTAGGCAGACCCTTGTTTGTCATAAGTTAAGCAGACCCTTGTTTGTCATAAGTTAGGCAGACCCTTGTTTGTCATAAGTTAAGCAGACCCTTGTTTGTCATAAGTTAAGCAGACCCTTGTTTGTCATAAGTTAAGCAGACCCTTGTTTGTCATAATTTAGGCAGACCCTTGTTTGTCATAAGTTAAGCAGACCCTTGTTTGTCATAAGTTAAGCAGACCCTTGTTTGTCATAAGTTAAGCAGACCCTTGTTTGTCATAAGTTAAGCAGACCCTTGTTTGTCATAAGTTAGGCAGACCCTTGTTTGTCGTAAGTTAAGCAGACCCTTGTTTGTCATAAGTTAAGCAGACCCTTGTTTGTCATAAGTTAGGCAGACCCTTGTTTGTCGTAAGTTAAGCAGACCCTTGTTTGTCATAAGTTAAGCAGACCCTTGTTTGTCATAAGTTAGGCAGACCCTTGTTTGTCGTAAGTTAAGCAGACCCTTGTTTGTCATAAGTTAAGCAGACCCTTGTTTGTCATAAGTTAGGCAGACCCTTGTTTGTCGTAAGTTAAGCAGACCCTTGTTTGTCATAAGTTAAGCAGACCCTTGTTTGTCATAAGTTAAGCAGACCCTTGTTTGTCATAAGTTAGGCAGACCCTTGTTTGTCGTAAGTTAAGCAGACCCTTGTTTGTCATAAGTTAAGCAGACCCTTGTTTGTGTTAGTTAAGCAGACCCTTGTTTGTGTAAGTTAAGCAGACCCTTGTTTGTCATAAGTTAAGCAGACCCTTGTTTGTCATAAGTTAAGCAGACCCTTGTTTGTCATAAGTTAAGCAGACCCTTGTTTGTCATAAGTTAAGCAGACCCTTGTTTGTCATAAGTTAAGCAGACCCTTGTTTGTCATAAGTTAAGCAGACCCTTGTTTGTGTAAGTTGTTTCGCTTCTCCTCTTGTTAAGTGTCTTAGTCTTAAATCCGCAGTAAATTTATGGAAGTTTTCTGCCTGGGGCAAACATAAAGATCCCAACCTGCAAAATGTTTGCCTAGGGCACTAGCCATGTAGCTCTTAGACTGTCAGGCTCAACTCTCCCCCCCCCCCCCCCAAAATAAATTATAGGCAAAAAGCCTAGATCTCATAGTTTAAACTTTCACAAAGTCACTATCTGCCAGCAGCAAAGTACCATATTTTTGCCTATGTATAAGACCAACCCCTACTTTTCGCCCCAAAATAAGAAATACATATTTTAAACACATTCCCCGTATAATATGACCCTAAATTTTTTAACTCCAAAACATTTAATCTTATCTCTGGAAAAATACTGTAATTCTGCAACCAGAAATGAAATGGTGGTCTGCAAAGTCTGCTGGCAACCCATGTGTCGCTCACTTACCTAATAAACTTACACAAGACAACAAAGCAATGGATAACTGTTTAAATTATTTGTTAGCGTAAAGTTTTGAACTACACAATTTCTGGTGTGGGTTCCAGGCCACGTTATGAGGAAAACAAGAACAGACCCACCGCCTCCCCAAACAATATGTCATAAGAGTCGACTCACTGGGGATTTCTGTCAAGGTCGGCATGCAAGTGCCTGACAGGCAAGAAACCAACAGTCTGCATAAGTCAGATCTGTGAAAACAGATGTGCACACAACACTGAGGCTCTGGAAAAAGACTTAAGTCCATGGTGAACTAACAACCAGAACTTTCCGTCGGAATTTACAGCTAGTGAACACACAGAAAAAAAAAAGGAACTACCTAACATCAAAACAACAGAAAATAGAAACATCTATCCCATGATCCTTTCCCACTCCTTCAGGCTTACTTGCCATATAGGGCTAGATCTATATTTTATAGACCAATCGGCACTTAGTGGGTGATGTGGTCACCATCAGCCAGCCACATTTACTTCCCAGGACTTTTTATCTGGTATCTACTTAAGGCTGGGTCGACCTCTGTGCCAAGGCTGTGTTTTTTTTTAAGCCCAGCTCCATTCAGATTTAAACCCACGACCTACAGATCCGCAGGTGGGTGTCTAACCACTACACCAGGCAACTCCCACAGACATTTCTGTACCACTATAATAAACATGCATTGTAAAACAGAAGAGGACTTAGGAATATGACTATCACTAACATACAGTAAAAAAGAAACAAAACAGACAAGAACTTATTCATAAATGCAGAGTGTATACACACAAAATCCGGTGCAGAAAAAAAAAAGCCTAAGATCTCCAAAGACATTAAACATACATGTAAGAACATAACGGTTCAGTTTCGCCTGAGTAAGTTAACGACCTCTTCACATTTACACATCTCTCAATAATTATGCTCTGGCTGCTGAAGACAGGGACAGAGCACATATAGGAATGTATGGAGTGCTAAGATATTGGCTCCTAACTCTTTTAATACGGTTGATTTTTAACTTAATTAACTGTACTCTGGTACCAAACAAGTTAACTGTTTCAATAATGTGACTCAGCAGTCTCCCCCCACAAATGGAACATGACGTAATGTTCCGGTAAATAAGCACAAGCTACATAAGCATACAAACACAGAAGGCAGTCAAGTTCCATAACTGTCTATTCACTTATCTGCTACTTTATAAGCCTAAGTTAGTTCCTTGACATACATATAGTTCCTTGACATACACACAAGATATTTTGTAAAGAGCGGAGAGCTCTAGCATTGGATAAGACATATTTAGAAAACTCAGAATATCTTTGCACTGAAACCCACAGAGGCAAAGAAATAAAGGCAGACCAGAACGAACAAAAAACATGAAGAAGGGTGCTAGACAGTGAAGTTCAAAATACAGGGAGGACAAGGGGTGAGCTGAGGCAATAGCAAACAATAAGACTTTGAGTTGGATGAGGGCCTATGCTCCATTGGGTGCGGAGGGCAGAAGAAGAGGAAAGGGCGGAGAGGGAACTATGACGACCATTTCTACCTTAAAGATCTGATACAATCCATCACATGGACAGTGTGGATATTTGACTGAATATGCCACAGTTCTGACTAAATTTCATATAAGAAATTCATAGTGTGGGTTCCGAGGCTCCAAGGAAGTGAGGAAGGGGGGGGGGGGGGGCCTGCCCCACTAACACGCATGTTGTAAGAGCTGACAAATTAGGGGTGTCTCCTTTAAAGTCAGAGTGCACCTGCCTGAGAGGTTAGGAATCAACAGTCTGCATATAAATAAGCCAGATCTGTAGAACAGATATGCAGGCCAAACTCTGGAACAAGGAGAAAGCCCAAAAGTTGATGAACAACCAGAACTTTCAACTGGAGTTTACAGCCGGTGAACAGGAAAAAGAAGACCTGATAGAATGCATGGCCAGAGCGTGTGAATATTTGGTTGAATACGCCACAGCCTAGACTAAATTGCATATAAGAAATCCTACAAACAAAGGAATTTAATTGATTCTGGTGTGCCCATAAATAAATCCTAGCAGATAGCAGATACTTCGGTGTTTGTGCGCTGTGCGGGGCCTCTTTGTGTGATTTACAGAAGGAGACTGAGTCATTTATAGAGATATCTGTGTGCAAAGAAAAGAGTTTTAAACACCAAGATACTTGCAGATAACATGTTAAAGCAACAGACATCATTGAATGTTAAAAGAGAACATAAATCCACATAAATACTACAGCTCTCACAGGGTTGAAAGCAACAGAAATTACTGGAAATCAGCTTACAATCAAATGATTCCAAAGAAATAACACTGCCAGTTGTTAAAGCAACATAAATTACTAGACAAAAAAAGATACATCAATGCACTTAAATAATACAGCCAATCAATATAATCAAATAAATCCACAGTAATAATGCATCTAGCACTCGGTTGAAAGCAACGGAAATCACAACACCAAAATAAATAAATCACAGAAATAAAAGTGTAATAAAAACAGACAATAACCAATTGTAGCAATACAAGAGCCCTTAATGAAATTGCATGCAATATTCAATGCAAAAGAGGCAAAAGTGATGCACCCAACCCACAGCGAACAGAACTAGAAAAAGTGCAGGTAACTCACGTTGGCCTCTACCTGCCCACAAAAGAACTCTGATGGTGACTTGAGTACTTCATAATTCTCCAGACCTGACTCCTCCCACTGTATCAACAACAATGTAACTTTGTCAGCAATCAAAGCCTCAACAGTCCACCATCACATGACACCGTTAACCCTTTTGTCTCAAAAGAATCTTTAAAATGGGAGGGGGTTTTCCCCACTGATCACTGTCATCATGACAGCTAATAGAATGAAATGGCTAGGGCATATATGTCAGATGACAGAGAGGTAAAAACTATACACCAGGGAGATTAATGGTCATAGACCTTGAGGCAGACCAAGAAGATTATGGAGAGATAACTTTCAGACTGACCTGCAAACACTTGGTGTCACCAACTGGAAAGAGAAGGCCAACCAGAGAGAATAATGGAGGTGGGTGATATCTGTAGCAATGAACCTCAAGGGTTCGGAATGATGAAGAAGAAGAAGTGTTTTTTTCCCAAAGTATTATAAAGAAATGAAGCTTAATAATTCTCTGAAACTATAAAACTAGAGAAAGAAAAAAGAAGAAGCAGAAGTGTTTTGGTCAGTTTTTATAAAAGGGCTGAAACCTATGGCCACTGAGCAGACAGGCAAGCCTGCTAGCCACTGTGTCAACGCTACCCTAAAGTCTTTACAACTTAAATTTTCTTTAGTAACCTTTTCACCAACAGATCAGTTTTACATTAAGCGGATTAACCATTAAGAGAATTAACCACTTTCACTGCCTTTGACAATGACAAAAATGTTTTCGTTGAAACAAGAGCAATTTAGAAAGAAGTGATGCCATTATAATGTCATAATGGCAGCATGCAGATTCAAAAGGCCATTTCTTCACCTCAAATAATATTCCAGTTGAGTTGAGTTTTAAGAACTGATATCACAGCACTTGGGACATTTCCATAAGCATTCCATCCCCATCTTCAGCAACAGCCAAGAGTTCCAACTCTGACGGTACCAATAACAGTCTGATTGTAAGTCTGTCTTGCCTTTCCTCTTAGTGTGAAGTGTTGGCCAGATTCCCTAGTCACTTCCCGTTCCATCATTCTTTTCAGACGTTGAAAATCACAGAGACCATGAAAATCACAGAGACCATGAAAATCACAGAGACCATGAAAATCACAGAGACCATGAAAATCACAGAGACCATGAAAATCACAGAGACCATGAAAATCACAGAGACCATGAAAATCACAGAGACCATGAAAATCACAGAGACCATGAAAATCACAGAGACCATGAAAATCACAGAGACCATGAAAATCACAGAGACCATGAAAATCACAGAGACCATGAAAATCACAGAGACCATGAAAATCACAGTGAGCCTCCTTACTGTTCACTCGCTTCTCAACAGCCCTGGTCACATCTAGCCTGTCATACCCAAATAAAATCCTAAATTTGTTTTAGTAAATATAACTGGCACATTAACCCACTATGTTATGCCCTTGCAACCAGTACCAGTCACAGTGGCCACCGCCTGACGCCATGCCATCACAAAGGGATTTCACTAAGTTGGCAGAAATTGTGTCAACTACTTCTTTCTCTTCTGCTCGCATCCTTAAACAAACAACTGACAAGCTATAATTTTACTGACAACTAGGCTGCGATATCTGTCCAAAACTTCCAAGCAAACCCACTAATCAGTAATCTCCTATGTAAAAGCAAACCCACTAATCAGCAATCTTCTATGAAAGCAAACCCACTAATCAGCAATCTCCTATAAAAGCAAACCCATTAATCAGTAATCTCCCATGAAAGCAAACCCACTAATCAGTAATCTCCTATAAAAGCAAACCCACTAATCAGTAATCTCCTATAAAAGCAAACCCACTAATTAGTAATCTCCTATAACATTCATGTTAGGGGGGGCAGTAGGTCTACTATTTTTCTCCAAAATGGAGGCCGTAACCCACAAAAGGTAATCCTAATTCAAATGCTATTCCTCCTGTAATGACAGTGAATGAATCACCATGGTCTGAACCTCTTGCACAAATTCAAAAGGCCACTGATGCACACAAGCACACCATCGGAAATAAACCTGGAGAAAAAGGACAGAAAGAAAGGAATGGAAACAACACTCAAGCGGACAGACCTGTACCTGAGAATTGTCAGAATTTCTGGTGGGAGATCTGTCTTCTGACTTCTGATCCCCGCTGACATTTTCTCCGTCTCTTTCACAGGGCAAAGCTTCAATGACCTCATTTAGTGTCGGGGTATATGATCCCTCGGTTGACGCTGGAGCATAGGCACGGAGCATAGTTGCAAAACTTTCCGCTAATGAGAGAAATCAAGTGATTTGTGTCTATCAGTTTATTCAAAAGTAAGTAAGTAAATTGTACCTCACCAGGACATCACACAAGCAATAAACACCCGGTGCACAAAGTGCCACCATGCGGATAAGGATCACCCGTGGAGAGGTCCCAGAAACCCCGTTCAGCCATTTAGACCATATTTATGGCCCTCGGCAAAAGCTAGGGTGGGGCTTCAGATAACGAAAAATTGTCCCACATGGGGACGACTAACGATAACACTTATACAAAACCTTAGATACAATATATAAAACAGACTACATATGTATGTAAAATCAGTCACTATTGTGCAACAAACATTTAAAACTGATTAATGTTTATACTCTAATAATAATTTCATAATTATAGTAATATTTATAAATGCCCACTTTAGTCTTGTTCCAAAACTTGAGTGAGTTTTAGTCACCTTGTACAACACTCTTGTTAGGGAAGGGGTGGGGGTTCAATTCTCCCTAAATGGGGCCTCAGAACCCATATGGGGAAGAAAGTGATGTTAGCGAAGTCGATACAAGGCTTGCTTTCAAATCCAGCTGCAACTCGCTGCAGCCGTGGTCGGTGTTTGAAACCGGGGCGGCTCCCGGGGTTCACCCAGCCTCTAGGAAATGGGTACCAGAGTGACACTCTGGGGTAAATGGAGGAATGTTTCTGTAGCTACAGAGTTACATATGAACAGCGACACAGGCGGACAGTTTCTTATAAGCTGTCCGTACTGGTGGCAGAGCACTTATGGTTTATAACCGTGTCTCCCGACTTTACTTTTACTTTTAATTTTTTTTTTTTTAGTGATAAGAAAAGTATATAGTAAAGCAAGAGAGAAAAAAAGAAAGGCATGTCACAAAGGTGGGATGACAGAAAAAGAGGATAAATGAGATAAAACAAAAGATTAATAAAATAAGTAAATGGACGTCCCGGGATAGTGAGACCATAAGGCAAAAGGAATCACACCTGGAAGCTAAAGAAGTTTTCAAGCATCAGTTGAAATGACACAGCCCTACCACCTTGATCTTATCAAAAAGTCCATGTTAGACAAGCCAATAAACCAGTCCAGTTACCTACCTTTGCTTTTATCTGCCGCTGACCGTTTTCTCCGATCTACTTTCGACTCAATTTCTGAAGACCAGCCACTCAAACTGCCAAGACTGTTACCAAAGCGACTCGGTGACAGGCTGACCTCAAGTGCTGCCTCAGCTTCCTCAACATCTCTGCCTCTCTGGGATGATTCACTGTAATTAATAGCCATACTTGAAGTTCTCTCCCCAGGATGACCTGTGGTCGTGGGGTCATAGTCTGTTGGCAGAGGAACACTGGAATCATGAGCATGTTTCAATCCTCTAGCATTTCTCTCGTTGGCATCATGCTCAACATTTTCCTGATCTCCTGAATGAGCAGACAATCTGCTCTCCCTGGCAACAGATAATGGCTGTCTGCTTCTGTCTGCCGTATGTTGCACTTTAAAAGGACTGGATTCATGAACTACTGCCTGCCTTTGTTGCTTCTCACTTACATCCAATGGTCTTGTTCTATCACTAACAGACGATGTGGATTCCTTTAGCTTTGCCCCAATGGCTAACAAAGACTCACTGTTCTTAGCAGTACTGAACACCTGATTCTTCTGACCCTTATGTGTTCTTAGAACTATTTCATGATCAAGCTGATCCTCCGTGGAAAATATCTCAGTAGGAGCAGCAGCTTTGTGTATATCTTGTGGTGAAGCAGAAGAATCTTTTGAATAAAGAGAAGGAAGACTTCTAGAAAGTACATGTATATCTTCTTCGCCTACTCTTCTGCTCCGCGGTCGAGGAGGTGTAGCATTATCCAGGTGAACAACGGTTTCATCCACTATTACATGTGAAGTTCGAATTGCCTCTCTATGAGCAATTGCTAGGCCCGTTGTTGGTAAGTCTTGCTTTTCTCTTTCATCAAAGGTGACTTGCCCATCACGGCCTTCAGATTGGCGAAAAGCAGAAACACTAAATTTTTCAGAAGAAACATGGCCACCAGGTGTATATTGTAATGAAGATGCAACAGAACCGTCCCTGGATTCTCTGTCTTGGACACTAGTGGCCGGTCCAGTAACCGGCCCAACCTGAGGGTCTGGACAAGATACATGGGAGGAGTATGAGCCCTCTGATGCTTTAAGTGACAGACATGAGACGGTATCACTTTTGGCAGCAGATACGGTGTGAACATCTGTTATAGCTTTGGTTCTAGTAAAATCCTGACCACATGAGACGGTATCACTTTTGGCAGCAGATACGCTGTGAACATCTGTTATATCTTGGGTTCTAGTAAAATCCTCAGCAGCCTCACTCTGAGAGAACTGGGAATGAACAGACCTCGGTGCAGAAAATGCAGCCCGACTCTCACTAGAATCTCCATGGAGCACAGAAGCTACACCTATAAGAGGGGGAAATTCAAACAAAAATGTGGTGAAAAGAAAAACAAGATATTTTTTTAAAAAAAATCACACAAAAACAGCCCTGGCTCAACATATTCAATTCACATATTTATAACACCACAAAGATTCAGGAATTTCACAGAAATATGTGCATAAAGAATCTGTAGTAATATTACATAATAGACTGACTGATTAGTCAGTCACCTGCTAAATCCCCCGAAAGAATGAATTCTCAAAAGTGGTGCAGTGGCATTCAAGTCATTTGAGTAATAAACAGGGCTAGCATTGACTGTACTGAGTAAGGTAAAGGTCCCTTTTCCCCACCTTTAGGCGTATTGGGAATATAGGGCTAGACCTGTATTTTTATAGACCCACTGGCATTTGGTGGGTGATGTAGTCAGCATCTTGCCAGCCGCCTTTACTTCCCAGGACTGCACCTGAGACCCACTCAAGGCTGGACTGTACCGAGGTCAGTGCAAAAATTTGCAATATGATTTGGTACCAAATACCATTTCAAATACTGCCACCCCCTTGTAGAAGCTTAGAAACTATAAGAATGTTAAATACCAGAACTGGAACTTCAAATGTGCAGAGGATTTTATTCTGCCAAGTATTTTCTCTCTCTGCTATAACTCCAGTCTTCCTAGATGTCACACAAAATCTACCACATTCACATAAATGCCCCAAAAGATTTCTTCTTCTTATAGCCATTCTGTGTGGCATTGGCTGTCATGTCTATCGACAACCTTCTGTTTTTGGTGCACTTTCAATCAATACTGACACAGATGATCCCCCATGCCATCAAATACAGACACAGATGATCCCCCATGCCATCAAATACAGACACAGATGATCTCCCATGTCATCAAATACTGACACATATGATCTTCTATGCCATGTTATCAAAGTACCAGCATCTTCTGTCTTGATCTCCTGCTGCCTCTTTTCCCCTCTAACTCTGCCATAGCCCCTATGATGTACTCCATTTTTCTCATCACATGATCAACAAATGTAGATTGTCTCCTTCGGATGTGGACAAGCGTTTTTCTTTGTGAGTCAGTTTTGTTTTCAAGATATCTTTATTATTCTTTTTTTTAAATCTGTTCAGGGTATGTATTCTCATCTTTCACCTAAAAAAAAAGCTTCAAACTCATAATAAATTCCCACAATTAGTTGAAAAAAAATGCAATGAAAACTCACCAGTGTGTACCCTTTCTGTGTGTCTGACAGTAGGTGCCGGTGCAGGGTGGGACTCCAAGGACCCGATAAGCTGCAGGGTGGAATTATTCCAGTGGTTGAGGACACTGGAGTTGTATGACAACTTAAAGTCCAGACTCATCAGCCCTTCAAAGACACAGACAGGTGAACTCATCCAAACACACTCAAATCTGACAGCTTATTTTCTACAGTAAGTTTCCAAAACTATGCAAATTAACTGTACTTTTGTGTGTCTAAGATGAACAAATTATTGTATTATTCTGTGTATAAGACAATGTTATCCCAAATGTTAAGTTTAAAATTGGAGGTTTTCGTTTACACGGAATGTGTCTAAAACATTTCTTTTACTGGGCAATAAACAGAAGACCTGAGAACAAAGCTTTAAGGAAACCTAAGAGACCTTAAGATAAAATCCTAGTTTATGACCCACAGTTGATTATGCGCATGACCAGAGATTGCTGAACACTTTCAGGCATTATCATGTTTTTTATGTATTTTTACACTAATAAGTGCTTGATCAATGGTATGATCATTTTGGGCTGGCCAGTTACCTGCAAAAACATATCCAGTAATTAAGCCTGCAAAAAGAAGAGAATCGTTTTCTGAATCTGGGGGGGGTGGGGGGGGGGGGAGAGAGAGAGACTGTCCACAATGAACACAGCACACTAACCATGCATTAAAATAGATAACAAAGAGAATGAAAATAACACAGCTCTTGAATATTTAAGCTGAGTAGTAAACAACAATGGTGACTGCACAAGAGGTCAGAAAAAGACTTGCTTTAGCAATGCAGAGGCTAAACCGCAGGAAGAATCTATGGCACAGTACGCACAAGCAAATTAAAGTTAACATTCTCAGATCAAGTATATTTCCCATGGCAAATTACGGATGTAAACCACGGACTCTTAGTTAATGAAGTAAAAAACTGAAGCTTTTGAACTGACATTTTACATATAAGGTTAGTTGCGTATCCTTTACAGGATGTTGCAGAACCAACCCGAACAGCCCCTGGCTGTTGTGTGGTTTTTCTAGGCAAATTTACGTCCAGTAGTTTGCCACTGCTCTCTGGACGGTCAGCTTTCTTGATACCACTGTCGATACCAACGCAAGGCGCATGGCCTGCAGCTGGGATTGAACCTGGCATCCCTGCATTACGAAGCGTTCGTATCGACTTGTCCACAGAGCCGACATTTTACATAAAAATTCTTAGAATACTGTGGACCAAGAAGAAACATGGACATCTACAGATAATGGTGGCAGAGGGCGCAGTTTCTAGAATATAAGGCATAGGCAGACCTATGTAAAGATGGATACAAGATGGAAATTGGCTTCGAAACCAAACAGGGCTG